GACGTGTACGTTCTTAGCTATATAGGGTGGGCTTGGCAACCGACACGCTGAGAGAAACATCACCGTGTCCGTAATACGCTCGCTATTGCGCCACTCGACTGTGTGCCATTCCATTTCTTTCCATTGCCTTCGATCCACTTCCTCGTAATCTCTATCTTCCCATTTGCGAGAGAACCCATTTTCGCCTGTGATGTTTAAATACGGGATTCTGATGTAGGGTATGTATGAAGAGTCGTATATTTTTCTCGATCGCAAATATCAGTGAAAAAAGCTATTTGTCGAGTTTCATATGTGTGTGCGTGCGTGTGTGTGTTATTAATCGTTTCCGAGTTATAATTGATTGAAAGTCAGGGGAGCTTTTATGGATTAACCTGTAGGTTTTTAACACACACGCACACACACATATTTCGCAAAATTTATAGATCGAAATCTGTCACGCGAGCAATCGGAAAAGCGACTATCATATTTTCGGAAATATCATTACGTGAATATTTATTATTGTTAATCTTATCTCGTATCGTTAGTAATGTTAGGTTATAATGTGAGATACTAATCATTCTCTCTGAAACGCGAGCGTATTCTATCTATTATCTAAAAATTTTAAATGCGGAAAATGCAAAAAAGTGTAAATCACTCGATTAGGTCCGTTCTACAATAAGTCGTATGTCGTTAGTCGTAAGAAAAGTGACCAATTACAGTCGAATATTCTCGGAATAATCGACTGTCGTTGGTCAATTTGCTAACGACTAACGACTTATTACAGAACGGACCTTATCGCGGGGGCGCGGCGGACGACGCGTGAAGTTATCTGATCTTCTCGCCGGATTCTTCCCGCCGAATTCGTTACGTCACTCGGGGCTCGTTCATTGCGTTCATTTGCAGTCAACTGCGAGTGTCGAGCGGATTGTAGTTTTGTGCGATTGTATTTCTTTCGCGTTATTTTGCCGTCGCAATGTAATAAAATGCGCGTCGTGTGTAATCACTATCACGAATACCGTGCGATCGTAGTATTTTGGTTATTAAGGAGCGCTCGATCATTATTAACTGCGTTTTCGAGTGAGTGTGCCATGAAGGAGTAGCAACGGCCGAGCACGGAGGACGGAGAAACCTGAGAGACGACAACGGAACACAATCATAGGAGTGAGTAATTTATTATTTATTTATTCTAAATATTTGTTGTTTGCGGAATTAACTGCTCATTCCCGCGAAGGATATATAAAATATCCTGTATGCTATTTTACATGATAATATGCAACAATGTTTTATTCGTTTCAATCCGATTTTGCTCAAGTTAATTCTACTTTAAGCGAATTTCATGGTAATCGTAAAAACGCTAAAGAATTAAATGTTGCAATATTATAAAAGAATAATTTAAATCGAAATGAGAGAAATTACATAATAATGTAAAGTGGATTATTATCGCGGAACAATTAGATTCATAAGTAGCAAATAATAAATTAAGTAAATTATAAATATCTCATACTTTGTTGCTCCATCGCGCGATACTTCCCGAACTCTTTCAGATGATCGCATGGCGCTTTGCACGACCCTCCTGATGCTTATCTCACGTACATTTATTTAAATAAAAAATTGTAATAAATGAATTTTTATTTCTGTTAGTTATAAAAATTAATACACAATCTGTAATTTTTTATCTCGCTAGGAGAACGGAACAAATTATTGTCGGGCATTATATTACGAAATCAGTGCGGAATATTTTGTGCTTTATACTTTAGATGAATTTTGGTTACTCTCGATCTGGTAAATCGTATTTTACTTCGTGAAATGCGAAAAAAATACACAAAATATAATTACATCGGCGAAAAATTTAAAAAGTACGCGATTAAAAATATTTGAACTTACACCTTTATTTAAAATAATAATTATCGGTCGTGAAAAATATAAATCGTGCGAAATACATATTTTAATAAATAGCCATCGTCACGATAAATTCATGAGTTGTCAATCGTTAATGCGAGTTAATTATTCGCGCGACTCGATAATCATTATTTGCAATAATTGTAGGGAATGATCGGGAAGGAAATAAAATCGATATATTGGCTATTTGATGTTTGTTATTTGATATATTCTCTGCAATTTTAACCAAAAATATTATAATAGTTAAAATAATTTTTTTAGATGAAAAAAAATTTAATCCAACTTTTTTTATTAAGAATATTTCTCTCTCTTATATGAAATGATATATAAAAGAATTATAATTATGAGCGAAAGTTTCGCAGAGCGCCTAAAAGCCTTATAAAAGAGAAAGAGAATCGCGATTTATCGCGAGAAAGGAAAAGAGAATAGGGGGACGATTGCTTCGTCTCTTTAATTATCTCGATCCTTACAAAATCATATTAATAATAACGGAGAGAGGGGAAGGTCCAGAACGCGTCATCGCGGGAAATGAGACCTGTTCGTCCTGGAACGATTATCGCTTTAAGAAAAAAAGTCGAGATGCGTACAAAAAAGCTCGTTTCATGAATACGCCCGATGGGGAGCGCGCGTACGACAATGGTATTTGCAGGCTCCATTGTTCTTTTAATTGGTTGGTATTCCTCGTACTCGGAGATGCACCGGTTGGGTAAAAACCCGGTCGGCACGCTGTGCGGTACTGTGAGGCAGGTCGGCTAGGAACAAAGTTATCGCGTTTGTTGAATACTCGTCTCCCCATTGAACGCGACTCCAGGGTGAGGAGGGAGAAACGGAATTCACCCTCCTCGGGATGAATATTCGTGCGAAGGGTCGAATGCGCGAAGGGCAAGAGAGAGGATTTCTTTAATATATGACACGGTTGCCTTTTTGCGCGGACAGGCCATTCGTTTTGTCGAATCGTTAGCATAATGCAAACTCCCTCTCTTTCTCCCCCTCTCTCTCTCTTTCTCTCTCTTCCTCTCTCCAATGAGTTCCTATGTTGCGCGATTAGCGTTCCCGGTAGCAAATCCCGTGCAAAAGTAGTAAAGTGTACATAGACAAGTATGCAGAATCGCTTCCCCGAACCGTGCATTGTTTATCGCGATTAAATGGAAACGCGTCGAAACGTTTTGGAAATTATGGAATACGGTGCGAGAATTTATGAAGTAGACCACGTTCAAAACTTTGCACGCTTCGATGAACTATCGGATAATTAATCATTATCTGCTTTTCAAATATTCATGAAACGATTATCCCGATGTAATATCTCTTTTTTCTCGTCACTTGCGAATTATACGATGAAAAATATGAATTTTGATTAATATCGAAAACGGGAGAGAAAGAGAAATAGGAATAGAAAGAGAAAGAAAGAGAGAAATATTCGTGTATGCGAAGAGATGTGGAAAAACGAAGAATATTACTCTCCATTTTTGAGCACTCTGTTCCTTGCAATCAAATTTCGTGCGTTTAGCGAATAATGGCATTTCCCTTTACAAACATAATTGAATGCACGTCGGACAAAACCGCGCTAGCTGAGAAGGTTCTTCTACCGCGTTATGTACAAAAAGATCTATGTCGATTTTGTGCCTCGTCATATCCTTTCGAATTGGTACGCTGCAGAGAAACTTAAAAAAAAAAAGTAAAATACTTGACATGCGGTTTTCCCTGGGAAATAAACGTCGGTAAATCGCGTCACGAACGGCAATCTTGAAAAAGTCTGTGCACTCGAGCGAATAAAAACCGATGTACCACGAATGTCCGGAATAAAATAGGATAACAAAACTATGAGCAACTAATGCGTTTAACCTTTTAATATTGTACTATGGATATATTGAATTTCTAACTTTTATCAAGCAAACTTTACTTTTAAAGTATCGATTTTATATCGAATTTTATATGCTTAATTATCGATAAATTGTAAAATCTTGCTCAAGCCTGACTTTTATTAGTAAAGATATAATAGCACATATCTAGAAAATATTATCCATTCAATATTATTTTCCATTCAAAAATGAAAAGAAAATGCTTAAATATTAATATTTATACCGCGTATAATACCTTGTATTTGATTTCACTACTAAAAGTCCTTCTTAAGTTTTAATTGGTTCTTGCCTAAAATTCTAGTTTTAAATCTCAAGAGAGAGAAAAAGAAAAAAGGCTACAGTTTTAAAATAGCTAATGTAGTCGAGCGTAAAAACCACAGAATGTTGGAAATATTAAATGGTGAACGAGAGATAAAAAAGTGACCGACGAATGTGGACTTTTAGGGAACTCTACGATATTTATAAACGGAAAGCGAGATGCGATAGCAAACAAATCATATACAAATCACGATAGTGGCGATCGTAAACTCGTTCACTAGCCAATCGGCCGCACTATTTCCGTATCCTATGTGGGAAAATACATGTACGATATCTGATGTGATACTGTTTACATACGAGCTAGGTCAGTGAAATTAGTTAAACGAAGATGCGCTTTGAAAGCGATCTTATCGGAGCATGTGTTTATCAAATCGATATCTGAGGCGAATTCAATCACGAGAACTGCGTAATTAATTTGCTTTAGTTGGTGAATCATCAAAAACAAACGGTATCTTTTACCGGTTTGTATTGGCAAGATGTAGTCATCTACAAATCGTTTTTAGTTCTTTTTGTCTTGCACAATATATTTGCTTTATACTGGATGTTCAAGATTAACCAAATACTTTTTCATTTACGAAATTGCAAAACAAATTTAAAAAAAACAAAAAAACAAAGATTATGATAAAGTATTTAGTTTTAATAATAAAGTATTTTTACAAAGTTATTCACATATTGAATATTAAAAAAGAAAATATGCATAAAATGGATAATAATTATTCTTCTTAATTTTTTTTCATTGTATGCGTCATTAACAAAAATTAAAATAAATTAATTTTTAATTACATATAATTTATTCAGATTTTTATAAAACATCAGAAATAAGACAGCTATACATGTAAATATAATTTACATGATATCATAAAATAACAGATTATCCATACAATTCTTCCAATTATTTTTCTTACATTGGAGTTGCTTTCAAAATAATATAACATCGTATTATCTTTATGCTACAAATATAATTATCTTGTGTTTTACATTAGTGATAAAAGAGAGGATCATAATTTTTAATAATTTATCCTCTGCTTTATGTAAGAGTTCCGCCATCTGCACAGTTTCTTGATGACCGCGCATGCTGGGAATGAGTAAAGGCGTTAAAAACTCAACCGGCAATGGGAATATGACCGTTGAATTCTTCTCGCCGCATATATTGTTCAGGGTTTGCGGATATCGCGGTAACAAGAATTGAAAATATGACGAATTTTTTTCCACTCGTATTATCTTTTAATTACGATATTCGATTCGAGGATTTTTTTTTAGTCCAAACTATCGGGATCGGATGCCGAGTTGTTAGTAAAACAAATAATCAGAATCTCGCGTCTCATTCTTCTTATAGAATTTTCTATAATAACGTTTGAAATTTTTTGTCATATTTATTTTTTTTTTGTCATAATCATAAAATATTTCGCAAGACAAAAGGTTAAATGTCAATGCACGCAGTAAATAATTAAAATTATCCTCGCGATCGATTTTATAATGTGCTCAGAATTATCCTTTCCGATAATTAAAAAATTGTAATACGTCGCTTCGAACTCGCGATTAAATGCAAATATTAATTTTGCCTGATTAATATTAATTAGTAACGCGCATCAAATGACTCATAAAATATTAATATTACAAAAATGAAATGTAATAAGGCGAAACCACAAAATAAAGTACAATTTTCGATAGTAGATAATTAGTAGCATTTGTTAATTAGCCTCCAACTTCTGGTTGCAAAGGAGAAATACGACTATGCGTGTATATATGTGTGCGTACCTGCAGGGTAGGAGGACTCGTGGAAATGACATTGCTGGCCTCTTTCAGGGAGTGGGAAGCTCGCATTTCGCCTTCCGCCGCAATCACTTTGGCCCTCACCTCCCTCGCAGCTTCTGCCTCCGTGGCCATGGCTCGTTGAAGTTGCACCGGAAGTCGGACGTCCTTTCTGAAGCAGAGGCATCCGTTAGATATCCTGTTCGGGCAGTCGAAAGGATCGGATTCATGACCGAGCATGCGAGCGCAATCGTGTGAGTTGCGACTCTGTTATAGATTATACGCGATCTCTTAGGATAAATACGCTTGAATTATCACCATTAACCCTTTGCGCTCCAAAATAATCTTTAGAAAAATAACACAATTACTGAATAATTTATTTTTTTAATTAATGAATAAAATATTCTTAATTTAATAAAATAGCATTTTTTATAGAACATTTTAAATGCCATCACTTTCTGTCACATATATTATTTCATAAAAGTTCAATATAAAAATATTCTTTACAGGTGATAATAATTTTCTCAATAAATGTGAATAAAATACATATAATATTGTTATGAACGTATGTGACAAGACCATCATGACGAGCGCAAAGAGCTAATATCAAAACGGTCATATTGCCGCCGTAGTATAATGCATATAACCGTAATTTAATTACTCCTTAATAACTCTTCGTCAATGCAAATAAACGCAATCTATAAGCGTATCGATTTGTTCTCTGTCCGCCTGTGAAATTTTATCGGATACACAGAGAGCAAATAAATAGCCGCCGACTTGTTTTACGCGAACGTGGATTCGGTGAACATTTAAATTTTAAATCGGGCCGCGAATTCTATCTTTTTTCTCCCCTCCCCTCTCCCCTCCTTTCCCACACTTCTCGACTGAAATACATTTTCGTTAGCGCATTATTTTTATCGGATCATTCCGCACGAAGTTCGCATTATGCCGCATACGCCGATCAAGCACTTTCAGATTTGCATTAGTCACTCTGTTGTCCATAATAATTTCTTTTCGTTTTCATGCAAACGAAAGTGTTGTTAGCGCGAACAAGATTCGGGCAGTCGAAAGGATCGGATTCATGACCGAGCATGCGAGCGCAATCGTGTAAGTTGCGACTCTGTTATAGATTATACGATCTCTTAGGATAAATACGCTTGAATTATCACCATTAACCCTTTGCGCTCCAAAATAATCTTTAGAAAAATAACACAATTACTGAATAATTTATTTTTTTAATTAATGAATAAAATATTCTTAATTTAATAAAATAGCATTTTTTATAGAACATTTTAAATGCCATCACTTTCTGTCACATATATTATTTCATAAAAGTTCAATATAAAAATATTCTTTACAGGTGATAATAATTTTCTCAATAAATGTGAATAAAATACATATAATATTGTTATGAACGTATGTGACAAGACCATCATGACGAGCGCAAAGAGCTAATATCAAAACGGTCATATTGCCGCCGTAGTATAATGCATATAACCGTAATTTAATTACTCCTTAATAACTCTTCGTCAATGCAAATAAACGCAATCTATAAGCGTATCGATTTGTTCTCTGTCCGCCTGTGAAATTTTATCGGATACACAGAGAGCAAATAAATAGCCGCCGACTTGTTTTACGCGAACGTGGATTCGGTGAACATTTAAATTTTAAATCGGGCCGCGAATTCTATCTTTTTTCTCCCCTCCCCTCTCCCCTCCTTTCCCACACTTCTCGACTGAAATACATTTTCGTTAGCGCATTATTTTTATCGGATCATTCCGCACGAAGTTCGCATTATGCCGCATACGCCGATCAAGCACTTTCAGATTTGCATTAGTCACTGTCGTCCATAATAATTTCTTTTCGTTTTCATGCAAACGAAAGTGTTGTTAGCGCGAACAAGATGGATTCAGTATTAAAACGGAAATTTAAATTTGAGTAAACTGTTTTTAATACGCCTTAGGTGAACGACTCGCTGTACCGTGATCTTAAAACGCAATTTTACAAGGTATATTTTGCGAGGCAGAAATTAATTCGCGTAATAATATTTCTCTATTTCTCTCCGCCATCTCAAGTAATGAACAAATTAATTACGCGAATGGACGAGTCGGTAACGAGGGGAAACAACACTCGGCCGTGCAGTCGCGACGTGCTAAAGTATCGAGATAAAATATTCACATCTCGACACGCTCGACTTTGACTCCCCAAGGATCCGTTGCCTCGTCCAGGGCAGTCTGCATAGTACGAGAGATGGTTTCCCGCTCTGACAGAATCTCAACGAGACCCCTCGTGCCGAGGACCGTTCGTGGTGTACTCGCGGCCAGTAACCGTGTCGAATAGCTGGAAAAGTAAGTAAGCGGAAGGGGTGATTCGTCTCGTCGCTGTCGAGGTAATAAACCATGAACGAACCGATGGTGCAGCTGTTAAACCACCCTCGCGAAATGCTGAAACATAGCAATACTCGACAGGCTGTCGACTATTCCTCGTAATTTTTAACGCATCACAAACCAGCTATACGCGATCCGTTCAATATGACTTTGGACATATTACACAATATAATGCACGTTAACACCCTCTTATTAGTGTAACGGCGAGTAAGGATCAAATTTAAAGATATGATAAACGAAATAAAATTCTACTTGTGGAACATAATACGATGTTATATCTTATATTGCTTTATTAATTCTGCACTGTATCTTAATTGTTAATTCAATTACAGTTTATCTATGACACTAAACGGCAAAAACTACGCAACGAATTTCGTGACGGTTCACCGCTGTGAGTCCGAAAAAGATTTTTAACATGCGTAATTAGCTTATTTTCATCACACTGTCGCGCATGTTTCCATCTCTAATTCTCGCAATGACCAAAAATAAAGGCAGAGATTACAACGAACGCGAAGGCGAGCGAAGGAAAAAGGGGTACGCGCAATCAAGTATTTAAATGTTGTGCCAGTTGCACGAAAGAGACGCGACGTGTAACCAAGGAAAAAACCTGTACGGAATGCTTTCATCTGACTGTAGAAATAAACTCGTCGAGTAAAACTGTCAGAGTAAAGTGAAAACTGTCAGTCGCAAAAATGCAGAATAATAACATAAAAAAATGTATACAATGATAAGATGATATTATGTAAAGTAGTATACTAATTCACACTACATGTATAAGTCTAATTTAAATTTCTAACATCTCTTTTCTTGCAAACTATCTTGTCTTTCTGCGCCTTCGTTTTAGAGAACAGATGATATAATATTTCGATATTATTATTTCTCGTATTTATAATTCGCGATTTTTATAACGGCGTGAAATATATTCATATATGATTACAATTTCAATTAATTACAAATGTAAGAGTTTAAATATAATAATCTTCGCTCACACAGTTCTCTCTATTTTCTGTACGTACGTAGTTTTGTAATTTGCTCAAACAAATTCTCGATTTAAGCAACAACTCTGATTTCGTCAGCGAGAAAGATTAATCGAGCCATCACAAAAGTGATTAGGTAAAAGCAGGGCGGACGATGCGCTCGCCTGATCCCGTTCCCTGCCGCTGATCGTTTTCTTTTCAACTATATTGCAAGCAAAGCAATCATGCAAACGCCTTTTACGGAGATCGCAGAGGTTAAATTGTGCGTGAAATGGAACGTCTGCCAGAAAAGTAATTTGTCCCTTTCCGTCCATACCCTCCCTCATTAATTTCATTGCACTGTGTTCTGTCAACCTTTTTTGTGAGTTCCGCTTTTTAGAAGAGAAAATTTAAAATCCGAAAAGAAAATATTTGACGTACAAAGTTCTGTTGTGTGTATGTGATTGATACGATTTCAAAATATTGATAATCAATACGCACCAACTTCGATACATTAACTTTAATGTAATTTTCTTAATTTTCGTGATCAGAGAGAAGCACAAGCAGAGAATCATTAAGGAAAGTGAGCGATTTATTTCCTCATTGCAATCTCTTGTATATAATGTACCGTACCATGTATTGTAGAGGACTTTCCTTCCGTTAGTCTCTGTTGGGTTCGATCACCCTCCATGTGGTTTCACCAAAACGACGTCCTTCACTTAAACAAGACACGCAGGATCGATCAGCGCAGAGAACCTGCTTGTTCATGAGATTTCTCTCACTCGTAATTCTAAATCCAGCAATATGCCGCGTTGTCGCAAAAATATATGTAATTATCTTAACAATCTTTATTTTAAAAGAAAATATATTCGTAAGATAATTTTGAAAGAAAAATTTGAAGAAAAAATAAAAAACTTATTATGTTGTGTTATCGGATCGTATCATTATTCTCGATCAATTTTTACTATGTGATGCTTTAGGATCTAAAATCGGCATCACACAAGTAAAATGAAATGTTTTTTTTTGATAATTATTAACACAACTTTTTACTTACAAATAATCGTATTACTAATCTAAAAACTTTATGCTAAAAAAAAACATTTTTAGATAATATTTTTATACATGTTTTATATACGATATTTTTGAAATGTTAAAAAAATTTATAAATTAGTTTTTTTTCGCAACGTCAATATTACTTTTATATTCTTTTATGCTTAACTCCTCGATTCTAATTTTGATCGGAACATCGAACAATGTTACTACAACGTTGACGGCACGTTCATCGTTCTTTGGTTAGTTTCCGGAGAGTTTAGTCTCCGTGAACGACAGAAACGGTACTAAAAATTCAAGCACCGAAATAACGCGCACCGAGGGTGAACGCGATCGCATGCACGCAAGCATGCACGCACTCGCGCGGTACTGTGTATCGCGAAACCGCGCTAAATTAACCGACAGCCACGTGCACCGGTTCTGTTCCTGTGTTTACGAGCTGTAAAGTTTTGTGTGAAAAGGCAGTATAAACTAGCTTGGTCGTGACATACGCGAAGCTGTTGGAAAAAGTAAATTATTCCTCTTGATGCGTGTTATAACGAAAGTGCTGCGAAATCTACATTTCAGATTCGTTTTATTTGCGCACGTGCGCAAAGTTTAATTAACGAAAGGAATAAAATATGTAAAAGGCGATTGTGGCCAACGTTAACGTCACCGGAATGCAATTAAATTCCAAATTAGATGTTTAATATAAAACTGACGCGCGAGACCAACATATAAATAAAAATGTCAAGCGTATTCCTATATAAATTCTCTCTCGCATATGATATTTATTATAGTATGTATAATAATCATTCGAAATTCTGTTTCTCTTTCATTCTCCTTTCCTATCTGTCAATCCTAGAATCAACTCATAATACGTTAATGTATTTATCGTAAGATTTGGAGACATTTCGAGAGAGCACTCGACGGCTCCAATGTCTTCGGTCGATTAATCGAGAGGTTAAAGGGCCGAAACGTTCTCTTTCGATCTCGTGCGAATTTGTTCACTCCTATAAGACGTCAGACTAAGAGATCTCGTAGACGATGAGTCTATTGTGATAGAGTAATAGCGTTGTTCCTGAATTGTCCGGATTCCGTCGTTCTTTCCGTCGTTCGTCGTGTGCTTTTTTTCTCATTCTTGTTGTCTTTTTTTTTTTTTTCATTTTTCCTTTTTGCATTTGTGTAGTAGATTCGATTTTTAAAGTTATCGGATCGCTCGCGCCTCTCCGCGCGCGCGTTACATTTGCTTTCATTACTTCAAACTCATGAATTATCCAATTTTCTGTGCCGTAGTTCGCAGAAAATGTCGGATTACTGTTTCGAGCATCGAAATCCATTAGACTAATGAAATTGCATTCGCGAGATCGGACGCAGATACTCTTTCGAAGTACCGACGAGAAAATCCCGACTCGTATTTTCAGATCGCCGCCCATTACGAGTAGTCTTCTTTAACGCCAAGCGATAGTGATGATGAGGTCAATTAATGTGCATCGACAAACTTTGGCTACGGTGTAAACTAATCGAAAAATTTCATTATGGATAACTTCCGTTGGCTAATAGTGTTTACGTCGATGGCAAAAATCATAATGTGCCGCCGTTGTTATTTATCGTGCATAATATCGAATAAATATGAGCGTTGTTGTATAAGCATATTATAAATGTCATACTCATGTGGTTATACATACGTATTTAATATCGTTGTTAATATTATATTATACGCGCGTCGTACATGCAATGTTGTTTTTAAATTAAAAAATATGTGTAGAGTTAATGAAAAAATAATAATAATAATAAATAACTAAAAAAGTAAGTAATTAATATATATAGATCCGACGCGGAACATGACTAGCTTACATAAAAGCAAGTGGATCGTTTATACATGTACAGAGCAAACTGCCCAGAAATAATAATCGCAACGCTGATGAATAGCAGAGTACCTGATAAGATTTAACTGGCAACGTTCTACATATAATGTTAACAGGAGCACACGATTTATTAATGTCGAAAGAATTACGAGACAATCTTCGCAAAGTATTACGCAATAGAGGGAATTTTTTTATCCCCTTGATCTAAACTCTTATATTAAATATGTATTCCGAGAGAAGTTTCTTAATTAATATACTTTCTAACATACAATGATTATTTCATCGTCCCTCGGGGGTGACCATTATTGGTCCGCGTATTCGGTAGCCAGGTAGCCAAAAAATAGTAAAATATTTTGCGCGATCCGAAAAACGATATAATAAAAGGAAGAAGAAAAAAAGCGGAGGAAGAGGAATATTGAAATATACACGATTCGTGGAATCGGGGTGGAGGGCCGTCATTTTTCCAAAAGCCCGCGTTTTCGGGAATACGTTTCGCTGTATACCATGAGGCCACCACCGTTAATCGACAACCGGCGATCTGCACATGGCAGGTTCGCACGTGCATATAAGCGCGTCGCGCATGCATCGATGGAAACGATCGCGGGAGTATCTTGACAGACCACAGACGAGAGTGTATCCCGGAGAGCACACACACACACGGGGAAGGAGGGGTGTCGCGGGGAAGGGGAAGCAAAATACTGGATGGTGAAGAGGTTGGATGGCGGTGAGAAAGGGTGTGAGTCGGCTAGCTGATGTGGCGATCCTGTGGGAGTGCTTGAACCGTGATCACGTTGTTAACCCACCCATACCTCATCTCTTCTCTGCCCTCTCCGTTTTCCTTTATCCGCTACGATCGTATGCTCTTTCCGGGCGTATCGTGTATAAGTACATAGTAGATATATATCCGCGCGCATGTATGTGGGCTCATATTTATGTGTCGTTCCTCTCTCGCCTCGCCTAGGCGATACACGCCGTATACTTAATTTTTCGCTACCTAAGGACAGTTTGCCGTCGATCTACGTCGCTAGGCTACCTTCATCATCGCGATACACTACAAGCACGCGTGCGTGTAAGATTAATAAAATTCTGCGATAATCGAAAATTGCGTTAATTTACGAGAGGATAAAATAATATTAAAATGCACTCTCATGCGCATGCTACATAGATTTCAGTATATAAAGAGAGAGAATTTAATAATAATAATAATATCTTCATTAATGTAGACAAAATAATGTGATATAAAATAATAATACACTGTTTAGCTCACTTGCAACAAAAGGTGAGATTGCAACTATCTAACGTGCTAATATAATGCGTAACTTAAGTAATAACAAAGAATTGAGTTGTGTAAATGCATTGTAAAAATTGTTGAAGAACTGAGACGAATATTATATATACATATTCAAAGCAACGTAACGTCAGATATTATATAAAAATTAACAATGTGAACAAATGGATAGAAAAATTGGAGTCAAGTAAAATTATAAGAAATAAAGAAATTTTACGACTCCATAGCAAAATTTGTACGCACACGACATATGTCATCGATGATATTCGTTAGACGTATATAATCGCGAATACGTGGCAAGATTATCACGTTAAGATCTTCCAACGAGCAACAATATTACAATTTCAGTGCGAATTTCCTTGTCGGGAATTGCAGCTGACTCTACTGCATTTACGTCACCTTCCATCTGTGATTCGCTCGTACATACATATCGAGAGAGATACTGTTTCAGAGACATTAATTAGTTACGTTTCAACGTTAGGCTGATGTACACGAGCCGTTATGCAATTCTATGTTGATGAAGTCAAAATCTATTTATCTACATCGATAAGAAATCATAAGATATAATTAAGTTCGTATTTAAAAAATTGAAAAATATACAATGTGTTTAATATGATTTTTCCATGACCATAACATTGTATTAAAAATGACTTTTAATTGAAGGATTTTTAAATGAAGGATTTTCAAAATAACTATTTGCTGCTGTGTGAATATAATGATATAGAAAAAAATATTTTATTGGAATCCAGTATGGTTTACGGCGAAGGCAATTAACTTTTACGTAAA